GAGCGGACCATGTGCCACTCAGAGCAACACGTGTACTGGTAATGGAGGACACATCCCAATTCGTTTTGCAACTTTAATGTAACACTGATACCAAAAACATGACAGCACGAGAACAGCACACAATGAAAGCAGGAGGGCAGAGAGAACTTAGTCTTGCATGCCACCTTCCATGGGCAAGCAGAGGCTGCCGAGAGTGCTATGTGAACATGGAGTCTGAGGAGGCACTCTGGCTGGGTGAGTGATTGCTGCAGTCCATCAGCGTTGTCTGTAAACGCAGGACACAAAAGCGAAAACAGAAATAGAAATACATGAGAAACAGTGAGGGATATAAAGACCAAAACAAGGGTCTGCCGCGCCTTCATTGTTCCCACTCCCCACGTCAGACCTTCCCCCTGACTTCTCACAGCGCCTCCTCAGCCCACCCTTCAGTCTCACTTATCACCTGAAAATCTTACTGGATCCAGGAGAAGAAGCTGGCACTCGTTCTGGCGGCATTTCTGGTGCGGATGGTGGAGCTGGTGCTAGGGCCATCTAGGATGGTGGTGTTGGCCCCACCATCGGTGCCACTGCTGATGCCAGCTCTCCAAGTGGCCCTCCTGTTGGCACGGTTGCTATTCAGAATGTACTGATGGTATCTGGCCCAGAAAGCAAAGGGGATCCTGGCCCAGGCGTCGCCAAAATCTCCGTCCTCATCCCAGGACAGGAGCTCCACCTGTATGTCATCCCAGCTCCACCGTCCAATCAGAGCTTCATCCCCAATGTTCATCTGGGCCCTCATCTGGGCCCTGGCATGTTCCTCAGCCATATCCACATCCATTGTCTTGAAAGCATCATCCACAGCCTCCAAGAAATGAGCCTTCCATTCCTGGGGGTCTCGGTTCTGATGCTGTGATGGGATAACAACAACCATCCTGACAGCTACCCCCATGTTCACTGAGCACCTGCCTCCCGCTGTACACCCTCCTGTGTGCTGTGCATAATCACAATAACAATAAAGACCACTGGAGTCGGGCCCCTCTTGTTCTGGGCCAGACCTGAGATTTCGCCCCATCCCTCACACGTACGTACTACGTTGTGAACTTGGGTGAGTTACCTAGGAACCTTTCTGAGCCTCAGTGTCCTCACTGGACAGACAAACAGCCTAAGGAGCCTGTGACCGAGAAACAGACAAGGTATGGGAAGGGCCAGTCCCTGGGTCTGGCCCCCAGCAGGGGCTCTCTGTTACCTGAGCAATGAATCTCAGCACCCTCATCTTGCTGGTCTCATGGCGGGCCCGCAGGCCCCAGAGGAATTCATACTCGGGTGGACTGCTATTGGGGATCTTCTTGTATTCCAGGTACCTCAGTGGAGAGAAAAAGAAAACTTTTGCCTCCAGCCAGGCAGACCTGTTGTTGCGCTCATGGCGCCCAGGCGGCCCCTTCCCAGCCCCGATGCTGCAGGTCAGTTCCTGCAGGAGGACTGCCCTGCCCCTCTAGCCCGTGCCCAACTCCCAGGGTTTCTGCCTCCAATACTGAGACCCTCAAAGCCCTAGGCCGTGGGTCCTGCCCTGCAGCCACGGGAAGCTGTGGTGGGGGGCAAGGGGGGGGCGTGTTAGGTGGGTGGG